TTATGTCACCTACTTTTGCACAATCCATCTCAGATATTAGAAAAAAATGTCAGCATCGTCTTAAGGTTTCTTTCGTCACAAACTTCCTTTAATTAAGTCTATACCTCAATTACGTGTTAAAATGTAGATGGTAAAGTTTTATAATTTAGAACCTGTGTTACATATCGAAGCAAAGAAGTTATGAAAACCAGCCGAAAAGCCACGAAACTACGCATAAGCCAGAAAGACCGATTTACACGCGTATTAATAGCTTTTGTATGCCGATACAAAATATAATTTTGATCATTAGATTGTACAGATATATTCAGGCTAAGTCCAATTTCGAAAGAAATAAAGCATAAGAAACAAAGCGTATATATTATAACTGAAATATAAATAACTTTTGTATGCTTTAGAATATACGCTTTCCATTTTGGGACGTTAAACTTATATGAGCACATGCATGTTCATGTAAAATAACCAGTACGTTCAGAATCTGAAAAGCTTAGACATGCATATTAAGTTTGACGTGTGCATGGTAAACACACGATTATTCATACTGCATAAAGACAACATATCAAGCGGCTCATTGTTTTTCTCTATTTTCTAGGACTTCAAAGTTACATGACTGTGCAGACTGTATACAGAAAATAATGGACCAATGTCAGGGAACAACAGAGCAGGAACAGATTCTTCAAAGGCTGATTAACAAGCAAAAACTTCTGGAGACTGTAGAATACTTCTGCCATAATTTTAGAGGTGTGTCATCACAACGAATTAATCATAAGGCATAGTCGTCCGGGATAACACACTGCCAAAATCAGATGCAAAATATTCAAAATATGCGCATTGGTTTTCAGGTTTCTAAAACGAATCAGGAATATTGTTTTGTGTTTTGAAAAGGCTTGTCTTGGTTTTCTTTATAAATGTTGACGATTTTGATTTATATGCACCTTAAGTAACTTTTTTGTAACATTTTCAATCACTAGCAATTTGTAAAGATAGAGGCAGCTGAAAAAAGCACAAAGTGTGACATTGCATGATAACGACTATCACATGTTTTAAACTGTTTGTTGTGTTGAACAGTTGTATCTAAAGAAGATACGCATAAATTATTGCTAGAGTAATATGCCTGGAAAACGTGTTGAGTTATAAAATATCTGCATTCCAAATGACATCCTGTCTGTGCGGGGTTGTTGAAAACTTTTACTCGGTGTCAGTTGGTGCGTTAAATTTTGGATTGAGCATATGCTCCGAAATGTTTAATTAATGGCGTGCAAAATGTTTGAGATTGCAAGTTTCCTGCCAGATGAATGAAATTGTCTTCCACGTGCTTAAACATATTTTTAGGAATTAGCAAACCAGTCTTCTGCTGGTCTCCGTTGGCCACATCAAAGAATGTAGAACCTAGAACATATTTCAAAGCAAGAAAACAGTGATATCAAGCTTAGAAAGTCTACTTTGTATTCTATATCCTATCTATGTGGTCTTTGATTTATTTTTTTACAGGCCCTGAATTGATCTGTTTGATAATAACTTCGCAAGAGGAGCTTAAATATACACATGTAGTGTTTTGCAATATTTTTAGGAAATTCACTAAAACATCAATATGTTGTGAGTGCCTGGCATGAAATTTAGTAATTCAAGGCGAATTATTGCCCATAAAGTTTTATTTTAATTTTTTTCCCACTTATTTCCCGTTCTTTTCGCTGCCAAGATTGGTCGGTTGCTTACTAATCATAAAGAAGATGTACTGTAAGTCTGAAACCTACTTTATTGTAAACACTTGAGCAATTTCAACAATAGATGGTCATGATTTGATTAGCTCATCTAAATCTTTAGCACATAAAGTACCAACGGGAACGTAACAGCTATCTCAGAAGCCTTAAATATGTGTTTCTACTTGATCAAGACCTTTCTTCCAGACTTGACCTGTGCGATTATTAGCTCTAATGGTCATAGACCAGAAGAGGTAATCGAGGTTTTGGTCTGTTGTCCGTCCGTTAGCACGAGTTTGTTACTCCTCTTAAACGTCCAAAAACTTTACGCACACATTGATCCCATGAGTTAGTTGGTTTAAATGAAACTGGTGCTGCGGTGACATCTAAACTGACCACTACAGCATCCAGTTCGAAAATCTTGTGACTAATAATTCTCCTAAGTGAATGATCAAAGCAACATGGGATTTTCGCTGAAACACTTTTTATGACGTTTGCTTGATCCTGATATCGAACATAGTCACGACAACAGCTCTATTGAAAATAGTATCACTACTCTTCCATCACAAAAAGATCCATGTTGACATGCTGTCTTTACAAATAGATATATTCTGTATAGTTGGTTCCTAATGAAATTGTGCAGCTTGCACATCTAACATACAGTTGCCACTGCTGTCGTCTGAAAATATTTTGTTGCTCCTTCAGAATTTATGGTTATATATTAATTTGGGGATTTTGCTAGATGACTTGTTATGATGTCTTGTTGTTCCTAAACGAAAAGGGTGCCGCTCAAACAGCCAATATGGCCGCCATAGTAGCCATCCTGAAAATCATCTACTTCTCCTGAAATATCTAATCAGCATGCGGTTTTGACTGAAAGACTTCATATAAGTTGGTTGTAGACGTAAACAGCACGGATCTGACCAATAATATTGCCGTCATAATAGACCAAATGACTTATTATAATGTTTTGTTGGTCCTAAATGAAACTGATGTAAATTAAGTCTCAAAATATTGTTATCTTTTCCCCTCCCAGATGGATGGATGTATCATTATGGGATATTCACCAAATGGATGGATGTATCATTATGGGATATTCACCAAATGGATGGATGTATCATTACGGGATATTCACCAGTATACATCTTATGATATTTATTTGGTCCTAAATGAAAATGGTGCAAATAATAAATCCAGTGTGGCTGCTTTAAAAATTGTGTCAAGATGACATCCAAGCTATCCACGATAGCAGCTAATTTTAAAGTCATGTTGTCGCTGAAAATGTAGATGGTTTTAGCGTTCAGGATTTAAATGGGAACATTGTCATATTTGGAATTCCTGGAAATTATTTTTGTGAAGTTGAGCATCAGTCCCTTTGACTACGTCTTGTTTGTTAGCATTATTCAACTATCAGAATATCACGCGCGGTTTTTGTTAAAAAGATAATTTAGGTAGTTATTTGATATATAATATTTATACATGTTGTTAACTGATTATATAAGAATTACGATCATTTGTGGTTTGCTATGTATATTTGTCAGAGTTCTCCAGTAAAAATTGCGGTTAAGTCAGATTTAACTGCAGACAACAAAGAAACAGATCTACTGCTACATATTGCGCCGGTAGATCTAGGTCAGTGATGTTTGTTTGCAGTAATCAGTTGAACATAGACTGACTGGCTGGTGCAACAGTCGACCAGGGTCTATTGTGTTGTTTCAATCGGTTACTTTTTATACGCATATTAATACACTAGTTCTTTTGGACTTAAACTCTACCCTACGGCACACAGAAAAACTATGGTCTGTTAAAAACGCGATGCGTTTTTACACAAAGTAATTCCTCAGTTGTATTATAAAATGTTTCTTTTGATGAGAGGGACTTGCGTCAATGAGTTCTATTTATAGCTACACGATACATTTCTTCACAGGACCAAGACATGTAAATTACACTGATGGTAAGGCACCACAGAAAAGTATTCGATGATGTAAGAAGACCAGGTTTTTCAAAATGACAACTAGTAGTGTCAGAATAAATATAACTTTCAAGACTGATTCCAATGAAGTAAACTTGTTTGTCCATGAATGATTAAATAGCAACCCTATCTAAACCTAAATTGCTTCTTATTGGACAGAAGATAAGCTGAAAGTGTTGTGTATAAAATTACATTTTTGTCACAGATTATTCATGTAAAAGAAGACAGCAAGTCAGGAGACTGATTTAAATTACTGAGTTCCTTTGTCATTTCTCACATCGTACTGATCAAACTATTAAGAGTTTCGTTACGAAGAAACTGTTCAAATCATTGACGCAAGTGAACGTAAATACTTGCACGGTTAAATTTAAAGATGAACCTAATTTAATCAGATTTCCGGTTTTCTGATCTTAACAATAAATCAGTCACCCGCCAGGTGAAGGTAGAGATCGGGTAACTCGCGAATCGAAATCGGTTCTCTTATAGGTCAGCTTATATGCGTATTCTTGTATAGTGTGGTTTTTATCTGATTTAATGCGTGCGATTTTTTCCGTCATCCGTAATCATAGAAGTTGCATGCTCTTTAGATTAGTGTTCTTATATATAAACATCAAATTCTTTATATGAATTAGATATTTAAATTATGTTCTTTGCAATTGATTATGGAATAATAGCCTTTATGCATGGTTCGAAGTGTGCATACATTTGCGGTAGCATTCGGGAGAGGCTCTAAACCTTTGAGTTTGGCGTTCGAGTTTCAACTCTTACCTCGTGCACTTTATATACAGCAAACAGTGTGTGGTTCATATAGTTCCATGATGGTGTGCTCGCTCATTTTGTGGACGAGGGCGAGTACACTGAACCGATTCCAGTCAACTTGTAGTCAAACAGGGCTGTATGTTGGTCCCAGATCTCTTCAGTATAATGTTTTCAGTTATGCTTATATGCCTTCCGTAACTGAGATTCTGAGATCGACATTAGATACCAGACTGGATGCAAGCTCTTTAAGCTGTTGAGACTGAAGACAAGGACGAAGTTAGAAGAGGTGAATGCTTGTCGTCTTCTAGTTCATGACGAATGTTCGCTGAATGAAAAACTCGAGTCTGTTACGCAACACAGTATTAACCATTTTTCTTCAGCTTTTGACAATTTCGGTCACGTAATCATTACAAAAGAACACAAAGATGATGAACCAACCTGCACCAAAAAAGCCTTGCATGCCATCACAGTAAATGAGCCAACCCATGTTACAGCGGACAAAATCACCTATATCGGCAGCACACTGTCGCGTGCAGTCCCCATCGATGATGAAACCAATGCCAGAATTGCTCGACCGCTCCGGTGGCCTAGTGGTTAGGGCGTCCGCCTTGGATGCAGCAAGTGTTGGTTCAATCAACGGTTGGGTCATCCCAAAGACATATAAATGGTACTAAAATCTCCCTCGCTTGGCGCTCAGCATTAAGAAGCTAGTGTTAGGACTGGTAGGCTGGGCGTCAGGATAATGTAACTGGGTGGGACATGATGCTACCTGTATGCAGCATGGTGCCCAAGTGCTAGACATTACTATAAACTGCTACACTGCAGACATCGTAGCGAAATGACTGAAAAATTGTTCAAGATACGTTAAAATTCCAAATCATACACACATACACACACACACACTAGAATTGCTGAAGCAAGTATGGCCTGTGGCAGATTCCGTGCAAATGTTTAAGAGCGCGGAGGGATCAGTCTACAAATAAAAAATAAGTCTACAAAGCCATTGTGTTGCCGACCCTGTTATATGCACGCGAAAACTTGACTGCCTGAGGAAACTTATGAGGATAAGATGGTACAACAAGGTCCCAGTCACTGAGCTTCCAAAATGTTCAGTCATTCTAAGCATCCAAACTCTGCTGATGAAATCATAGTTGAGATGAGGAGAACATGCCACCATGATATAAAAAAGCGACAAGAACAGAAGAGCTTCTGCTGCAAGCAGAAAGAGGGAAAGCGATCTCAGGTTGGTCGAAAGAAATATTTAGAAGATTCTTCAAATCATCCATGGAAAACTTCATTATTTATCCTGAATCTTGGATACATCTCACACAGGATCGCTCCACTTGGCGAAGTCTCATCCACACTGAAGCTACATACATTGAACAGAAGGAGAATTGTAGAGGCAGTGCAGAAGCACGAGCATTGGACGTTTCAGAACTACAAAAGGTCATCTATCGATTACGAGAACCAAAGTGGCATCTACTGTCAAGCGTAACATAGACAGCTTAGAACATAAATTGGATGTATTAGCCATTCAAGTACTCACAGAAACCAAACCAGTTAGTGGTGTCATTGTAATCTTTGAACTCAAAAGTCGAACAATAATAACAACATTGGAAAGAGAGAGAAGTTGTTTGAATGATTCTCTGTTGTCACTATCAGTTAGTTTAAAAACTTTCGCTTAACGTTTAAAAGGTACTTTCCTTTCGTTTAAAATAAGATCGATCTTTACATTTGTATCTCGCTTAGCATGTAGATGGTTGACTACGGTATAACAAAGTGCACAACAGTGAGGTTTGAAATTGTGAATACAACTGTTAACTCTTGAAATGTCCATACAATGTATGCACAATATAAGATTATTTACAAATATATCTCTAACCAGGGCAGATGCTATCCAACAAAAAGTTCTCTGTGCATACATATTTTGCCTGCCCTACAAATGCAACCTTAGTCGTGCATGCTTAATAGCTCAATTTAGGTTCGGTGACTTACAAAATTTATCATTTATTGCATTTTCAGTGTACGAGAAAAATGTTGATTGTATTAGTAAACACCATACCGACGTTGCAGTATGCACAGAACCTGCTAGAACACGTTTTCAACAAAAGTTGGTTGCTGGGGCAACGATGGATGTGCTAATAACGGGATCGTGCAGGTAAGATATGAACTGTAATTCAGATATAATATTGTTAGTGTAAATATGTTTGTCTTCAACTGAAAGGCATCTTATATTTTACGATATATATCCCAGATGTGACTTAAATATTTACAGTTACTTTCTGTAGTCGTAAATTTGCTACAATAGTTAGACGGAATTAAATATTACAAGGCATGTGGTTTTCATTGGCACATTGGAGTCTAACTTTATATTTACATCCTTCTATTAATGTTACTCATAAAAATGGTGTATAAGTGCTAACACACCTGTTACCATGCAGGACTTTGAAAATCAAGGACTTTTCTTCTTGAAACACATGCGTTCACATCATCGCAGCGAGGGCTCCATTCCACTCCTTAATTTGAGGTGTCTCTACTCGACCAAACCTTTCACTAACTAGACCATCGGCACATGCATCTCACTGGCTGAAATCTATGTGCCGTAAAAAATGGCATCATCTTCTACATCGAGTATGTACATTGTACACTTCGCAACAGCTCGGCTCTATCGCACAACAAAAGCTAGTGGACCAGTAGCCATTTCGATCGCCAGCTATGTGTGAGGCGCTGCGTGTATCTTGCCAACCTGAGTATTCCAAGGAGAAAAGTTGGCTACGTAACATGTAGAATTGGAATAATGCAGAACCAGTACCGGATTTAGGCATAAGCTAAACCAACTGCAGCTTAGGGCCCCAAAGTCTAAACTTAGTCTGAAGGGGCCCCCTCAAATTTATTTTATACCAAATATGGCCTCTATAGCTTCCCATAGCTTAGGGTCTCGCTTTGTCTAAATCCGGCACTACGCAGAACTTTCACATTTTTCATCCAGTATTTGAGAATTGTAATAGTATACTTGGGAATCTAATTTCATTCAGCGGGATTTTTTTTTCAAAGCGAAAATCGCTGGTTTCAACTAGATAGAAATGCAAATGAATATAAGCATTATCCGTTAGTTCGATGAGCATATTTCAACGTTTGTATACTAAGATTCGTATACATTCATTAACAACAAATCATTGTTTTAAAATGCTGTGACTTTTTTATTTTTCTTTTATCCGATGCCCGGATTATAATGACCCTTTGTGTTTGTAGGTTTCATGGCGTAGCCAGAAACTGCCTTACCGACATTGTAGAGAAACGCTGTGGGCAAGAGCCCGCCAGTCTAGTATATAACCTCCTGACGGGCTTGACGCCGCCATATTGTGATACAATTAGCCCCGAGTACAGTCCGGATTCTTCGTCTAGTCCAAAGGACCGTTGGACTAAGTGGATAGGGACCGGAAGTAACACATCTGTTGGAAATACGCTGTCTGTAGGAATTGTTTACATGCTAATTTTGATGATACTTTCTACTGTAACTCTTCATATTTCAGGTTGACTATTCAGCTTTGAAGTCCAATATGTATAAATATGCATTTGTGGTAATGAATAGCCGCGAAATGTCTTTAAGGGAGCATAATAAAATGAAAGTTGTTCCTCACCACGAAGGAATACTTGGATGGATCAAACAAATACCACATATACTTACCTTTCATCTGATATTTCTGTGTACTGCATGTTTACATTTGTTTGGTATGGTTTATCTTCCGAATTTGTTTGGTTGCGATTCTTTATATTTATGTTTTTACAACTTAGTTTTTATTCAGCACCATATAGTCAATGCATTGGACATACCTGCAAGTAAACCCTAAGCATACATACAGCCATGAATACAAATGGGCCACAGCTTTATACAATTTCTCGTCGTACATGCATTTTATATTTATATTTTTTCGATATTTTGGAAGTATAACGGAAACTGCTTAATAATAATAATAATAATAATAATAATAATAATAATAATAATAATAATAATAATAATAATAATAATAATAATGATAATAATAATGTCAGTATAGCGTAATTAAATGCAACGCCATGTAACATTGTTGGTCGGTTGAAGTAGTAAGAAGCTAGTGGTCTAGGCTTCTTAAAACATAAACATTGGGAATCAAAACATGGGAATATTTCTAGTCCACATAAAAATTTAAAATCTTGTGACTGTTGTATACGGTAACATTCCCAAATCACTATTTATATTTTTTTAAATGGATCCCAAGTTTGTATTCATAACAGGGCTGTACATTATGATTTTTTATGTTCACTAGCCAGCAGGATCACCGTAATAAATTGGTTACAGATCCCGTCTAAATTTCACTGATCTTGCTAAAATTAAACAGAAGCCAGCTCAGTTTCAGATTCAATACTTATTATATATGGGCATTAACTAAAAACAATAACACTGTATTTCACTAACAATACTCACGAAAAGTTCATGTTCAAACTTCATCAAGAGGCTCTTGTTCAAAGATGTCACAATTTTCTCTATTTCTGAGGAACCAAATTTCTGTTTTGACTTAACATATCCCTCTGCCATTATGTGTATGGAGCTTGTATTGTGGGATTCCATGGACGACAGTTTTTACGGCCATCTGTGGATAAAGTACACCACACACTTTCATATTTTACCACATTCTCAGTATAGTAGATACACTCCATTGGATGGGTTCTTTTCGGTTGAACTTAAGCCATTTATGTTAATTTGCCCAGCATTTCCGGTACTGTTTTAATCTCTTCTCGTGATCATGTTTGCTCTCTCCATGAAGTGGAATCACTTTTAAAATGTTTAAATTGTCAGTTTGAGATAAAAGTTCCATATGTTATTTGCTGTTATTTTTAAAGCATAATTTTAAAACAAAATTGTTTTACTACTATACAACAGTCAGATTTATCCTGGTCGTCGGAAACTAGTCCTTAAAGGTAATGCACTTGCAGCAACAGCAGAATTGGGCAATGCAACACAAAAATACATTCTATCGAGGTTTTATTGATAACTGGACAGTGCAACACAAAAATACATTCGATTCGGGTTTTGTTGATACTTAGGGTCAGTTAATTAATATTACAGACCAGTCGTTTCCAGAGGTACTCATGGTATTCGTGTATTAGGATCATACATATAGTGTGCGACGAATTAAGGAGGAAAATGCAAGAGCTGTGATGTTGAAAATGAGAGAAAAATTAAAACTTAGAAACCACAATCACATAACAGGTAAATATGGAGGGTTGCAAATAACTAATGCAGCTTCAACTGCAGGTAGCCAAGACATTGTCTAATATTCATTCATACCATATCTTGTTATGACTGCCATCATTTTATATATTGTATATGCTTGTTAAAAAATAATACTGATAAAGAGGTAAAAAAAATCAATATTCTCATTAAACAAGTATTTCATTGTTAACTTAATGAAAGTTGGTAAGAAATTAGTAGTAAAATTAATTTTTTAGGTTTGTATATTTTTTGTTCATGGTTTAATCTGTAGAGAAAATTGCCTTAGAAGCTTAACAATTATATATTTGTTGAGACAATGAAATGATTTCGCTGACAGAACCTTCAGTTCAGATCAGTAAAAAATTTAAATTTATGAGCAAGGGCATATACTGAT